ATTATTGAAAATCAATATCTAAAAAATTAAAAGAAATAGCTCTGAAGTAGACTCTAAGTTGAGATGCATATTTTAGACTCTAAATTAAGATGTGTATTTTAAGACCTAGATCAACCATCAAGAAAATAACTGGAAAGACAACAAAAGTAAAAATAAACAAGTTGGACTATGAACTAAAAAGCTTTTGCACAGCAAAGGAAACCATCAACAAAATGGACAGACAATCTACCAAATGGGAGAAGATATTTGCAAATCAGATATCGGATAAGGGTTAATATCCAAAATGCATAAAGAACTCATACAACTCAGTATTAAAAAGCAAACAAATAATCTAACAAGTGGACAGAGGACCTGAATAGTCATTATTCCAAAGATGACATAGAGATGGCCAACAGGTACGTGAGAAGGTGCTCAACAACACTAATAGTCAAGGAAATGCAAATCAAAACCACCTGACACCTGTTAGGATGGCTATTATTTTTAACCCTTATACACTGTCAGTGAGCAAGTAAACTGGCAGTCATTATGGAAAACAATACAGAAGTACCTCAAAAAATTAAACAGAACTACTACATGATCCATCAATTTCACTGCTGGGTATATATCCAAAGAAAATAGTATTACTGTCTCAAAGAGATATCTGCATTCCCATTTTTGCTGCAGCATTGTTCACAGCAGCCAAGATACGAAAATAACTGAAATGTCTGTCACTAGATGAATGGATAAAGAAAATGAGGCATACAGCCTCAAAAAAAAGGCTTAAAAAAGAAGGAAATCCTGCCATTTGCAACAGTATGGATGAACTTGGAGGACATTATGCTAACTGAAATGAGTCAAACACAGGAAGACAAATACTGCATGATCTCACTTATATGTAGAATCTAAAAAAGTTGAACTCACAGTAACAGAGAATAGAATGGTGATTACCCGGGACTGGGGGTGACTGGGGGAGGGGAATGGGGAGATGTTGGTCAAAGGAAACAAACTTTCAGTTGTAAGGTGAATAAATAAGTTCTGGAGACCTAATGTGTAGCCTGGTGATATAGTTAATAATAACGTATTGTATACTTGAAATTTGCTAAGAGAGTAGATCTCAACTGTTCTCACCACACACAGTAAAGTAACTGATATGTTAATTAGCTTGATTGTGGTTAGCTTTTCAGAATGAATACATATATCAAGGCATCACATTGTACATCTTAAATATATGTGATTTCTACTTGTCAATCATACTTCAATAAAGCTGGAAAAAACTATAAATGTGAGTGGATTAACAATCCAATCACAAGGCAGAGACCGTCATACTGAATTAAAAAAAACAAATTCCAACTTTATGCTATCTATAGTAGACACACTTTATATTTAAAGATGCAAATGGGTTAGAAGTAAAAAGAGGGGGAAATCATAAGACAGTTGGTGTGGCTAGACAAATTAGACTCTAAGACAAAAAAGAGTTATGAGGAATAATAAAGGACATTTTATAATGAGGAAAGGGTTGATCCATTAGGAAAATATAATAATTATAAACATATATGCACCCAGCAACAGCCTTTAAAATATATATAGCAAAAGCTGACAGAATTGAAGGGAGACATACACAATTCAACAATAATAGGTGGAGACTTCAATACTCCGTTTTTAATAATGGCAGAAAATCAATAAAGACACAAAAGACTTGAAGAACACAATAAAACAACCAGACCTAACACACATCTATAAAATATTCTTCCAACGAGAGCAGAATATATATACTTCTCAGGCACACATGAACCATTTTCAAGGACAGATCACGTGTTAAGCCACAAAACACATCTCAGGAAGTTAAAAACAACCTGATAAATGTTATCTACAGAAAAACTCATAGCTAACATTATACTTGACAATGAAAGACTGAAACTTTTCTCCTAAAATCAGAAACAAGATAAGAATTTCTGCTCTCCCTACTTTTTTTTCTACATTGTACTTGAGTTCTAGCCTGAGCAATCAGGCAAGAATAAGAAATAAGACACCTGGATCGGAAGGGAAGAAGTAAAAGTATACTAGATATACTAGAGGTATAAAAGTACACTAAATAAAAATTTTAAAGGGGGTGGGGGTGGGAAGAGA